TAGATGTATGTAAATGAGTGTATATGTAAATGAGTGTGTACTGTACTGAGGGTGTCTGTGTAGCTCGAGGGTTGTAATTGGGTTTGGTGATATGTAATGATGGGTGAAATCCTTGTGATATGTTGTCCAGTGTTGGGTAAGGGTTGATCCAGGTGTGTTCCAGTGGCGCCTCCGTGGTGACCAAGGGTGGATTTATCCGTAGAGTCCAGTTCTTGAGCCGTATGGTGTGATTTCTGAGAGAGATTGGGTGATAATATGAAGAAAATATATATAAGAAAAGAAAGAAAGAAAAAACTTTGAATTTTCACATTTTTGACTACCACAGCCTCCCCCAACTTATTGTCTGTCCCCAGACAATTTACCAGGAAAAAATGTGAAGAAAATGGAGAAAGAGTTAATTTTTAAACATCAAATGAATTGAAAAGTGTAGTGGGTATTTGGAGGAAAAAGATGGGCAAAAATTAGTGTCGCTGAAAAAAGAGTGTGATAGCCTCCCCCAACTTTGCAGTGAAGCCAAGCTGGGGTGGCTGTAGGATCATATCACAGTCGCCCAGGATTGGTCAGAGCTTTAAAAAGAACTGTTCAAATGATAGTCCTGAGATGGGGTCTGTGAGATTTACTGGAGTTGATTGTTGTAGTACCATTGGTCTTGTTGAGTGGTTGTCCAACACTAAATTCACCGCCACTGGCCTTGCTAAGTTAGAATCAACTGATAACCTCATCTGCAATTCTACATCAGTTTTTGCCTCGTGTACGCCATCTCAAAACCGGTCTGTCTCGGATTGCAATATCTTAAATCAATCCAACATGTACATTTGAATCAATGTGAGGTAGGAAAGGGGTCAATGGGGTGCCTTCCCTGCTCATCAAATCTTTGGGGAAGGGGTCAATGGGGTCCCTTTGCAGCCCAGAAATCAGTTGGTTCTTTTTGACTAATTGCTTGAATGATGAAGATCAGCTTCAATGTGAGTAATGAATTTCTCTACTTTGCCATCTAGCCAAAGAATCAATATGTTATTGATCCATCTATGATACCAAATTATTGAAGGACGAGCGAGCGACGGTTGATGAGATCTCCAATTGGAATCAAAACTGGAAGGATGCGGTATGAGAGGGTCAACCTAGCTCGGGGGAAAGTTGAAAAGGATTTCCAAAAGAACCCCACGGCCACCCAAAAAAAAAAAACTAATAATACTATGTAATCACAGGTTGGCTTGGTTGAGTTTTGCCAAGATTTTGGCTGGCACCAGATACATACCCTTGAACTCCTTATGAGTAAGCATCGAATCAGTCTTGACTTCAATGGCAGGCATGTATAATGGCTACATTGTAGTTCCCCCTTCCCCCTCCGGGATGCAGGCTGTTGCTATGGCAAGAAGGATTGAGGCCGGTCTTGAGTTGTCTTGGAATAACGGTAACGATACAACCTGCTTTTTGTATTTGTATCTCTCTATCGCACCTTTGCGGCTTTCACCGATCAGCCATCCGGCCGGCTGGGATTGGAGAAATTGGGGAGAATTGTTCACCAAGTGATGTTGTATGAGCGTATCTGCGAACTCGAGCAGTTCAAAAAAGGGCCTACATGCCACCGCCTTTGAAGGCCCGATGGCACACACGTGATTTGGTGGCCGTGACACGCACTGTGTATGGTACATGTGTACAACTTCTTTGCCGTTGGTGGGTTGTCTTGCTTGAGGTGAAGAAGAAAGAGGTTCGCGTTGGATAGGTGTAACCTTGCCCCCATCCGGGATTCCTACCAACAACTTTTCTACTTGAACCAACTCACACAGCTGGTGCAACCAGTAGAATTAATATTAAATTATTCCGCTTGACTAGCTGCAAACTCCTCACTTCACATCTGACTCGAAGTGGTGAGTCACCTCTCCTCATGTCCACATCCTTATCTTCATAGTAGAGTCAAAAAAGCGGACGTAATCCTGATAGCTCGTTTTTGATCTTCTTAAATTCCAGAATTGAAGCCTATAAAATCGCCGAAGATGAGACTGTTATTGATTGTGGCCGCCTTGATCCCTTTCGCTTATCTTCGTAAGTGATCGAGTGGGGATATCAAGGGTTTCTTGAAGAGTCAGTCCTGGTGACTCAAACTAACCCCCATCTTCTTTCTTATACTGGAATTTTTCCTTTCAGAGGAGCCTGGGAGGCAAGTCCAGCGAGATGGAACCGGATTTGTGGATCGATTAGGGGAAAACGAGGTCGGTGACCCCATTGCGATAGGCATAGCCCCCGCGAAACGGAAGACACTTTATCCACTCAATAAACCAAATAACCCGAAACCGAAACCGAAACCGAAACCGAAACCGCAACCGAAACCGAGTATTATACTGAGTGACCAGGGGGGTGGATACATTCAACATCCAAAAAAAGAGAATCCGACTTTAACGTTGTACTCTGCAGCAGACGGGTACTACAGCGAGATGTTTAATTAGATGACTGGATTGCGTGATCTGCCATGCAGATTTTTCGCCTTGGGGATTGCACTCATCATAATCCACTTCAAATTGCTAATTAGATTTCAACTATTTATCAGTGTCAAAGACTTTCATCGGCTAGATGGCGTTTTTATTTTATGAGCAGATTTGGTATCACATTGCGCACTATGCATATGCAACTTATGACAAAGAAACTAGAGGATTAGCTGGCTTAATATTTTCTGAAAAATATTTACATTTTGTTTCTTTTATTTTTCATCTACATATATATATTACTTGGGTTTAATGACGGCTGTGCCCTCAACGGCTGATTTCATATCTAATATCTATTGATTACGGAAAGAAGAAAACCCAAATGTAATGTATATGAGTGCGTAATACAAACAGTCATCTTTATTACATCAACTTGAGCGTAATTCAATCCGGACCACCACCACCACCACCACCGCCACTGATGAAAGCGAGTTTCTTATCACGCCCACGAACCTTACGATTCGAGATCGATTTAGAATGGTTAGCGCGACTCGATTGGCCGGCAGGATTGCGATGATCGGTGCCTCTAGGTCTAGTTTGATTGGAGGAGGAGGGAGGAGCAGTAGGCTCGGTAAGTCCAGTTCCTCCTCCGCGTCCTCCGCCATCTGTTGTGGGTTTTCCGCCTCGTCCTCGCGCGTTGCCTCGCCCCCCGCGTCCGCGATTCGCCCCGGCTCCTCTTCCCCTCATACTTCCTGCTCCACCTCCACCTCCCCGTCCACCTCCTCCTTCCCGCCCTCGAGAGCCTTCTTCTCCTCGACTATCAATCATCTTTGTCCCCCGATTATTGGGATCTTGAATGGCCGATTGAAGCCGATACTTCTCCAAGATCTCCTCCTTCTTCGGCTATTTTGAAACAGTCACATATTTGAATTTCAGGCTGTGGACAAGCATGGCGAGATCTGGACCAATTCGTCCTATAGATGAAGAAAAAAGAAAGGGAAAGACACTCACGTTTCGCTCAAACATCGTCTTCCACGCCTCGATGAGATCGTCCTGTTTAGGGCCTTTCAAGCGGGCCTTTAGGGCCACTCGACTCTTCGAGGACCTCGAGGCAGGCAAGAAGACGCGCGGATCGTTGAGATAGAACGAGCAGAGCACCTCCTCATCCACGCCCCATCCCTCGCTCTCATTCTGGGGTCTGTTTCGCTGCTCTGGCTGTTGGAGAGCCTTGTTGGCTCGGCCGCGTGTCGGCTTTGAACGTGCGTTGGCTGGTGGCGTTGGGGAGGATGAAGAGGAGGAGGAGGAGGAGGACTGCGACGCTGCGTCTTCCGGATCAGACTCATCGCTGTCTTGGCGAAGGTTGAATCGATGGTCATCGTCCGAAAAGATATCTACGCCCATCGCTTGCTCATTCTTCCCCTCATCTTCTTCATCATCAGAGTATAATAGCACTTGCTCCGTACGTCCAGATTCATCCCTTTTTTCTTCTTCATCCTCTATTCGCTCTAATCGCGCTTTCATTTGTCTCTTCATCTCCTTCGTTAAGTGACTCTTGTCATTCAAGATCTCGTTTTCGTCCAATCTGTTGAGTTGCCCCAGACCAATCAGAAAACAACACGCATCCCTTGTAGAGATTTAGATTGTCAAGAGATGCTTACTTTGTTTTTCCTATCCTTAATAGACTAGGATCCATCTTGCGATCATCAAAGATGTTCTGACGCTTTTGAATGAGCTGGTGGTCGGATTGTTGTGGGAGGGAGTGATTAATGGATTCGGTGGTCGAGTAGGATTGAATGAATTGAGGGTCATTAAAGCTTCGCTCGATCAAGCGTTGGGCGCCTTGTTGAGGATCCTGAAAGTTGACGTGTTCTTGGATGATCAGTCTGAGAATCTCTGGACTGGCTAGGTCGGGTAAGACTGATAAGACCTCATTGATGATCGAATCGAGTTCTGGCCGATCATTTGCTTTGCCCGCATGATCATCATAATAGATCTTGAATATTGGATGACATGCGCGTTGCTCTGGAGTGAAGAAGTTGAGAAGGGGGTCCTGTTTGGTTTTCTTTGTGTTTGTTGCTTGTGGTAGTCCTTGGAGATCTTCGAGGAGATTGGGATAGTTGAGATAGAGTTCGGTTAAGAGTCTGATCGATTTGGAGCTGAGCAAGCTGATGAGTTGATCTTTGAGTTCGCTGGAATCGAATGCAACGGTGGCCGATCTCAGTTTGGGTATGATTCCTTGCTTTAAGACGTGGAGGATGATGAAGAGTAGCTCCCTCCTAAATAGTTCTTCTTCTTCTTCTGCTCGTTCTTGCTCGATGAGTTTGATGAGTTCTGCGAATGGCTTGATTGTATCCTGTGCTGTTGTAGTGTAGAAAGATTCGAGTAGACTGGGATGAGACTGAGAGATGAGTCTTAGTTGTTGTATGGTAGTCTGTTGTTCTGGTTCGGTGGTAAGTTTCTGAATGAGTAATTGGATGTGTAGGTTGAGTTGTTGCTTGAGTTGATGGTTTCGATTGAGGTTGTCGTCTATGATCTGTTTGATGATAGTTTGATTTGATTCTAGGTAGTTTGTGATGAGTTGTATGATCAGTTGTGGTTTGAGGTTGATCTTGAGTCGGTTGAGGTTGGTGGCAAGTAGTAGTGAGCTGTTTCTGAGACCTGGAGAAGTTGCTGTACTTAGTAGTAGTGTGGTGAGTAGTGTTTGTATGGTTTGTTTGAGTGGTTCTGGTAGTAGTAGTCCTTGTTGTTGATCGATGAGTTGGTTGTTGAGTTGGTTGATTGTTGCTTCCATCCTTTTCCTTCGTGGTTTTTGGGAGTTTTTTTTGGTTTTTCTTGGGTTGATGGTCAACTGTTGACCAACGATGGTTATTCGCTGGCCATCCCGGGGCAAAGATCGTCGCCCGAACTTCCCCCGAATCTCCGGACAGCAGCCAAGTTTGGCTAATTCCGGGGTTTGATTCAAATTTCAATCGGCGTGACCGGCAAGAAGTGGCCATATCAACAATGCCTAGGAAACACTAGTTATCCCGTCATCCATTTGACCAACGTGTGCGTGCTTGTGATAGCCTCTACATAGATCAACCCAACTCAAGAGAATCCAACTCAGCAATCATCATTCTCAGGCATCATTAAAGAAATTCAAGATTCTGCCAACGATCAATAGATCTCGTAGTGCTTCATGGGTACACTCATCAAGCATTGCTGAATTTGGCTGGCCATCCAACTCTATAACCAGGCGCTGCCAGAGCTCGGTCCAGCCTGGCTCGTTCGAAGCTCTGGAAACCACCGGCAGGGTTGAAATGCGTGATGTAATAAATAAATCAGCAAGCGGCCTATTTTATTGTTCTTTATTATGGCATCATCATGATTGTAATTTGGAGCGTTTCAGAGAAGTCAAGTTAGAGCAAGAAGAGAATTAATATTATAAGAGTTGCAAGACTTTGTTTAATTTTTTCATCTTTAGAATTCTAAGACTCTAGTAGTAGATTTATAACCGTCGAAGATACAAACCCCATTCATCGGTATATATTGTCCTGTGATCAGCTTGATCACTTCTTGAGAAACCAGTCCGCCCACTATACTCGAGATGTGTGGTAATTCACATCCTGCCGATCTCACCCTGTGTACCGTTTTTTAGAACAAACAAAATCCAGAAGAAAGAAAAAGACAAAGCAAGAAAGCAATAAGAAAAAAAACCTGATCTAACCACCATATAGGAAAAAGGAAATGAGAACTTACATTTCTTTGAGAACTTTTTCGAGTTTTTCGGGTAATTTCTCAGGTACCTTTTCCTCCTCCTTATCATCCGATGGCGGTGTACGTAAACAATTGAGGGCGATCTCGGAAAGACTGTTAAAGTCTTCCTCCTCTTGTCCTTTCCGCATCCCCGGATATTCACCCTTGTTGAGCGACCTGAAAGAAGACATGACCTCGAATGCCAAGTACCAAGTCGCCGTGTAGTCTTCATTCCCAGGCTCAAATTCCTTCTCAATCTTGGCAACTGTCACATGGGATTAGATTGGTTTTAGTTTCAGGCCACAAAAAGAAGAATAATATTAAGAGTATGGAAAGTCCAATCTGATTTTCAATCATAACACTCACTCAAGTCTTTGGGCTGTGTACCAGATGATCTTCCCCGGACCAAACGTATGTGGGCGGAATTCTTGACAAAGGTCTCGAGCATTTCTGAAGAAACGTCGAGATCGGGTCCCTCAGTATAATGTCCCGCATCGGTGCGATACTGCCCATCCTCATCCTCATCTTCATCCCCCTCGTCCTCCTCGTCCTCCTCGTCCTCATCCTCATCCTCCTCGTCATCCTCGTCATCCTCCTCCTTTTTCACCTTCTTCTTCTCCTTCTTCCCCCGATCTTTCTCCTGCCCTTCCTCCCCCTCTTTCTCCTCTTCAGATTTCTCTTCTGTTGATTCGTCAGTGCCATTCATGATTTTCTTAAAAGTTTCCAAGTCGTTCATGGCTTGTTGGCGATAGATTGATTGGAGTTTGACATAGTTTTTCGTATCCGATTTCATGTCTGGAAGCACTCCAGACAAAGGCAATTGACGGCTGGGATTCTGTTTGACGAACTTTCGTAAGCTTTTCACAAGTCTCCAAAACCTTCCGTCCCACCAGGGTATTTTATCGCAATGCGGATTTTTGAATAATTCTTCTACGTGTTCGGGCACCTGTTGAGAAATTTTTGATTGATTCATATTCAATGATTCTGGATACTTGATTTGAAGATGATCGCCTGCATGATTGATAGTCTTGAAGGAAGTCTTACTTTGGTTGGTTGACAGGCTCTCCAAATCATACCCACCGCTTCATCAAAATTGTCTTCGTCCGCATTTCTCTTCTCGGCCAAGATCATTTGCTTTAATTCCTCGCGTTGAGCCGCGTCTTGAGGTAAATTTCCATCGTGCTATGTATAATCAAAACATAGCCAAGTTAACTAGACGTTTGAGCCTTGAGAAGTCCATATCGTACTGACCTTAGATTTGAAGATTTCTAAAAAGTGGATGACGATCACAACCGCCGGGATGTGAGCATGCTCATGATTATCAAGCTTGTCCATCTCAAATGAATTGACGAATTCAGACAAGGATGGGAAAGGGGAATCCAATCTTAGATCGGCAAGAGAATCCGGATTGGTTTGGATCACTAATTTTATTTTGTTTATTTTTTTGGGGAAGAGACGATGATTTCGAGTCGAGTTGTTCCAAGGATCCAAATTCAAGAATGGGAACAGCTGAGTACTACGACAAAGAATTCATAACAGATTGAGTGGGCTTACCACTATGCTCTCGAATCTGGACCCGAATACTTGCCGCTAAGCCGCAAGTCTGAACCAGTATTGTGGGCACATTGAAGTCCCAACAGTGGTGACTGATAATATCTTCATCATCATCTATCAATCGGACGGCGATGTGGGCATCCCAGGTCCAGAAGCCGGTGAAATCGTCAAAGCCGTCGAAATATTCCTCATTCAAGAGTTCATCGTTGTACATAACTATAGATTTAGATGGAGATGATTCTTTGAGCAATCTGCAACACTCTTTCGATCGATTGCGACCTAAGCTTGCTTGATCCAAGAAAAAATGGTTCCCGATGTCTGATTGACGGACGAGTTTGTCATCATACATATCGAGATGATTGACTCCAGCTAAAACCAAATTTTTGGCAATTTGAGCCGAAGTCGCTGAACAATCGCAGATCTTGACCGCTCCCTTTTCAAGTCGTTTTTGGCCTGCGATCTCCCAAAGCCTAATCCGCCATACAATCATTAGGTGAACATCCTCTACACAAGAAAACGGAAGAAACAGTGGAAATAGACTCGCCTCAATTGTCTGTCGAATCTGGGTTTATTAGTGTTCCAAGTTGGTCGGCCAGGAGGGTTCAAAAAATATCATGACATAAGATCAAGGGTAAAAAAACACGAGTGCACTATGGGTAGCATTGAAAGGCTTTCTCCAACACATACATTTGGGTTGTACGATCGGGTCTTGAGAAGCACGAAAGATAGACAGTCAAAACGCCGAGAAAGAAGAAAAGAAAAAACAAGGAATCATCAGCCAGGATTGACAAGTCAATTATAGGTTTCTAAGAGTGATTTGAAGACCAGTAGGAATACATCTTACCGCGCTGAACTAGCTGGATTGAGGAATGCAGGCTTTTGGTCTCCATCTTCCCTTGCTTGAACGGTTTTGACAACTTTTTCCGCCAAATTCGACATCCTCTCGGACTCCAGCGACCCTGGGCCATCTTCATCTGCTTCTCTTTTCATCGCGATCACGTTTGACCAGTAATTTAGATTGTTGACGATTGGATATCTTTGAGGAAAAACGCGCCTACTCTACATATTTATTTAGCTACAGCTGCATTAGCATACATCCAAATTTGCATGAAGATGGGTTCTCTGCTGTGAAAGTGATGTGAACAGCGCACTCGCTTGTGACATTTGGTAAATATCAATCTGACACCTTCAAGTTCAGGCATGCTTCTTCTGAAACTGGTACGTACCAATCTCACTTCTGCTGAGAAGGGTTGTTGACTGGTCACTGAAATTTGAAAACTTTTCAAGATGACACCCAGTGTCTGTCTGCTGAATAAATTATTCAATCCTAGTAAGGAAAGCAAGTCAGGGACATCTCAGCTGGATTGGCTCAAGAAAAGGAAATGAAATGAGAGAAAGAGAACCAATTGAGGTGTAGTTTCTTCTGGACTTGTACTGGCTAGCTTCAAGTCAACTAGATACAACTTACAAGTAATTCAGAGTATGTTCAAGTGGAAAATGAATAACATGATGATGAATAGAACTTTTTAGAGTCAAAAGATCACCTGGTTAAAATGAATAACAACTAAGAAAAGATGCACACAGTTCAATAATATAAGCAGAACATTATAAGCTGCTAGAACCAAGAGAAGATAAGCCCTACTTACATAGTTTGGGTTCTAAATTATGTGATTAAAAGACTAGAGGACAAATTCCCATCAATGCCTACAGGTCTCCTAGAAGCAATTGAATAGAGCCTCAAAAGCTAGATTTCCCAGCAAAATTCTAGACTTTTTGGGTCTGAGTCAACATCTGCAAATAGCAAGGGCTCCAGATATGATGCAAAGCCTTCCAGTAATGAGGAAAGACAGATTATGATGAGAGGATATCCCTGGAAATAGTGGTTTTCATGATTGGAATTTCTCATAGAGCCATTGATACCAAACCAGATGACCTACGCCAAAGCTCAAAACCTGCACTACTCCAAGCAAATTGCATTACCCAAGCTGCAACCAAACAAGAATTCTATTTGAAAAACCTGCATCCAAAAGTTCAATTATGAACCCTGCTAATGAGATGACTTGATCAGTGAGTTCAAAATACATCAAAAATTTTTAAGAGATGAAGAATGTGATCATTTTTTGGAATCAAAAGAACATAACACAAATCATGTGCACCATCAGCTGGATCTGCCAATACCCAGGAAAAACCCTTTATGTAGAGGACAGGATGTTACTTTCCAAAAAGGTATGAATGCCCATTTTTCCAGTCAGGGTACATCTTTCCTCAAATGAATTATTTTTGGTGGAAGAAAGGGGTAGTGTAAGAGCTTAGAGGGTTTCTCACTGACCTTTCAGTGAGTTAGTGGTGAGTTAATGTCATTGGATCAAGACAAGGAGTCTTGAAGAGAATTGGAGGAATTCCCTTTGATTTTACAGCACCCTGTCAAGCCAGAACTACAGGCTGCAAAGTGTTTCCCCAGCAAACATTTAGCTTTACAGCCTGTAATTCTAGCTTAACAGAGGCTTTAAAGCCAACAGGAAGCCCTCAATTCATAGAATTCATCTCTAGACAACTAAGTAGAAAGAATCAGGTCAAGATTCCCTACCACAATTTATATGAAAGAATGGAAGGAACAGTTGAGGCAGAGAAGAAAACAGAGGTAAAAAATAGGAGAAATGAAGGCTCACTTAGCTCAGTAGAAGAAGAAGGTCGGGATTATCTACTGAGCTAGACAGGAGATGGGGGGAGGAGGCAGGGAGAGAGAGTAAGAGATTGTCTTGTCAAAGTTATTGATTATGTAACTTTAAGTGACAAGGGGGTTTACTCTCAGCAAGGACCAGCTCAGGAGAAGGTGCAACAGAGGCATTGGTGGAGGTACCATTACATTTCAGTTCTGTTTTAATGTTTTTTTGGGGGGTAGCATATTGAACAAGTGCTATTTGCAGTGGGTGATTCACAGGTACTGCTCAAGAGTGTCAATGTGTTTTATGGGTTCACCAGGAGGTAGTAGGAGTAGCAGATGTAAGCAGCCCAACCACCTTGAATAGCACCTGTGATGGGTATTATTTTTGAAAGATGGGTTGCTAGATGTGAGAGACAGGCCCAGTTTACTGTCTGGAGTGGACATGTGGTTATATTGGGGGGCTGGGATGGAGTATTGAAAGCAAAAGGTCAACAGAGAAACAGGAAAAGGGAACATTTTCAAGAATTACACAGCTTGATTTATTTATTTTACTTAGAACTCAAGGACTCCAGTAGTAGATCTATACCCATCAAAGATACAAATCCCATTCATTGGCACGTATTGTCTTGTTAAATGTTTGATCACTTCTTGAGAAACTAATCCTCCCACTATGCTTGAGATATGTGGTAATTCGCATCCGGCCGATCTCACCCTTTTTTCATCAAAAAAAAGAAAGCATTCAAAACCTGGTCTACAAAACCCAGCCCCCACTCTAAGCAAATCAAAAAAGGAAAGTTGCCCACATTTCTTTCAAAACCTTTTCAAGTTTTTCAGGAAGCTTTTTCTCCGTTTCGTGATGCAATTTGGATCCGGTTAAACGGTCGAGGGCGATCTTAGAAAGTGTAGCAAAGTCTTCATCTTCTTGTCCCTTACGCATCCCAGGATATTCACCCTCGTTCTCCGACCTGTAAACGGACATCGCTTCGAATGCTAAGTACCAAGTAACAACATATTCTTCGTTCCCCGGCTTGCACTCCTTCTCAAACTTAGCAACTGTGCAAAGGAAGAAAAGAAAAGAAAATTATGAGGGATGTGGTAGTGCTTGGTGCGTCTCAATCAGTAAGAATCATTACACTCACCCCAGTCTTTGGGCGTTGTACCGTATTCTGCTCCCCGGATCATACGGATGTGGGCGGAATTCTTGACGAAGGTTTCGAGCATTTCAGAAGAAACGTCGAAATCGGGTCCATCGGTATGATGTCCCATATCGGTGCAATACTCCGCATGCCCCTCCTCCTCCTCCTCCTTCTCTTCCTTGCCCGCTTCATCCTCTCCAGATTCTTCTCCGGTCGATTCTTCAGTGCCCTTCATGATTTTCTTGAATGTTTCCAAGTCTTTCAAGGCTTGTTGACGATAGATTGATTGGAGTTTGACATAGTTTTTCGTATCCGATTTCATGTCTGGAAGCACTCCAGACAAGGGCAGTTGACGGCTGGGATTCATTTTAACGAACTTTCGTAAGATTTTCACTAGTGACCAAAACCTTCCGTCATGCCAGGGTATCTTATCGCAATGCGGATTTTTGAACAATTCTTCTACGTGTTCGGGCACCTGGTAAGACATTTTGATTGATACAAGTTCGACGATTCGGGATTAACAATTTGAAGATGACAACTTGCATGATTGGTAGTCTTGAAAGAAGTCTTACTTTGGTTGGTTGACAGGCATTCCAAATCATGCTCACCGCTTCGTCAAAGTTATCTTCATCCGCATTCCTCTTTTCGGCCAAGATCATCTGCTTTAATTCCTCTCGTTGAGCTGAGTCTTTAGGTAAATTTCCGCCGTGCTATAATCAAAGCATAACCGAGTCAACCCAATGATTATTGCCATTTGATTTTAAGCAAGTCTATTTGGTTCTGACCTTAGATTTGACAATTTGTAAGAAGCGGATGATGATCACCACGGCCGGGATGTGAGCATGCTCATGATTGCTAATCTTGTCCATCTCAAACGAATCGACGTATTCGGATAAGGCAAGAAAGGGACAATCTAATCTCAAATTGGCAGGAGAGGCTGGGTGGGATGGGATCACTTAATTTTTTTTTTGGCGGAAGAAGTAATGATTTGAAGTCAAATTGATTCAACGGCTCAGCGTAGAGAACATGAGTAGCCGAGGACTGCGTTGAGGATTCACGGCGGATGGAGTTGGCTTACTATTATGCTCTCGAATGTGGACCTCAATTCTGGCCGCCAAGCCGCATGTCTGAACCGATATGGTGGGCACATGGAAGTCCCAGCAGTATTGACTTGTAAAGCGTTCATCGCGGGCTATCAATCGGGCGCAGATATGCGTATTCCATTCCCAGAAGCCGTGTAAATCGTCAAATCCATCGTAGTATTCCTCGCCCAGCATGTCATCATCCTCGTAGTTAACGGGTCCATACTTAGTTGGTGATATTTTGTCAAGCAATCTGGAACACTCTTTCGATTGATTCTTACCTAAGCTTGATTGATCCAAGAAAAAATGGTTTCCTATGTCTGATTGACGGACTACTTTGGTATCATAGATCTCAACAGTCTTTATCCCTGATAGCACCAAATTCTTGGCAATTTGAGCCGACATAGCTGAACAATCGCAGATTTTTACAATTCCTTTTTCAATCCGCTTTTGGCCAAAGTTCTGCCAAAGCCTGGTCCGCAATAGAATCATGGGTTGACCATCATCTACTTGAGAAAAAGGATGTGGAGATAGAAAAAGGCTTGCCTCAATTGTCTGTCGAATCTGTGATGATCATTATTATTGTAAGTTTGCCGGTGAGGAGGTTTCAAATAAAAAGGTAAAAAAGGTAAAAGGTGAGATCTAGACAAAAACGAAAGTGCACTATATATATATATATAGCTTCGTAAAGGCTTTCTCCAACATACACTTGAGTTTCGCGATCGGGTCTTCAGTGTGACAAAGGACAAACAGCCAAAAAGCCGCGAGATGATAAAAAAGAAAAAAAAAGAAAAAAAACGACCGATCATTAGCAAAGTGACCTCCTGAAGTAAGTCAATCCAGCAAAAAAAGAAGAGAGATGAGAATATTGTCCTGTATCTTACCGCTCTGTGTCAGGACTGATGAATGCAGATGCAAGGACTGGACGTTTCCCTTCTGCTTCGATTTTCTGCATTTTTTCCTTCATCAGAGCGAGTGGTTCGTGCAGATCCTTGATGGGATCCCCATCTGACTCTCGTTTCATCGTGAACGCCCTGATCTATGGAGATGTGATATTTATGTATTCTTCAGGAAAGATGCGCCTGGATTGATAAGCCGTCTGCAAACCTCTGGTGAAGTCAAATCTTGTGTTGTTCAGAGCATCTGCATTGGTTCGGTTAGTTTTGCTTGCAGCTAAAATTTGAAATTAGCAAAACTAAGTTAGCACAGCCCTGTCAACTACATTGGTGTCAGCTAAACCGCCGAGCCATACTAGCTAGCTCATCCAACCATGTTCAACCAGACTGATAAGCGACGTAAGCTACTCCAGGAGTTGTTTGCATCAGACACAGAGGATGAAGACGAAGAAGAGACCAACTCTTCCGAGGACTTTGATTTCGAAAGCGATGAAGATAAACAGGATCATCATCCAGTCCAACACCGGCCAAACAAAGAACGAAGCCAACCGTGGGTCGCTACACTAAGGGCGCGTACCATAGCCGCCCGCGGACTGCCAATTTCCAAATTTTCTGGCAGTAAACGTTTTTGACCAAAATCGCGTACCACAGCGGTCAGTTTTTTTGATGACTCAACTAATCGTTTTCTCACATTTGATGCCGTTTGAGGAAACGGCCCCACCCCCGTTTGCAAAAACGGACTGTGCCATCTTGTCTCCAAAGCAACCGGTTCGACCGAGTTGCTTCTTCAGAATCACCCTCGGCTCTCTTTCCTCTTGACTTCTGGCCTCGACTCTGACTTCTTGCCTTAACTCTTTTCTCACTTGATCAATCAAAAAAGCAATGTGTTTGTTATCTATCAATCTTGTCTGATGTGACCCAGACACAGTCTTTGAAGCAGATTTACATCGGTCTTTCTTCATGATGATAATGACCAATTGTATCGATTATAAAAAAAACATTAACTAGGCAAATAACAATCGATCAGACAAAACGATCGATTGTGCATTGATTGCAAAAAAAGAATCAATCGGAAATGACAATTGATTTTAGAAACCATCAACTGTGCATTGATTATAAGGAAACAACGATGAAAAAAACGATTGATCAATCGGACCAATTGATCCATTGGAAAAAGGATCAATGACAAAAAAAAACGATGGGAAAGAACAATTGACCAATCGGAAAAAATGCAGAAGAAGCGACCAATAAGATGGCAAAAAAAAATAAAAAAAACTTGAGCAACCCGACGACTTGCTTTGGCCCGTGTATGACATATACTGGGAAGAAAGATAGCAAAAGAGTATGATTGATTGGTGGGATGAATGCAAATATGTGATGCATGGAGATGTTGTAGTGAGTAGCTGTTGATGATGAGTTATAATTGGGATGTGCTGAGGGATAGGTGAGATGGAGATCAGGTGCAGTTGGTGCAAAACTGTGTGTGGTACACGTTTTTGGATAAGGCCGTTTTTCAACCTGTTTAAAAAAAAGCGCAGAAAAAAAAACGGTCAGGAATCGATTTTCAAATTGGGATGCGCTGTGGTACGCGCCCTAACCGTAGCGGTGAGTGTAGTGTAACGCAGCAAAATTGCTGTTAGCGCTTAGCGTAGTGTAGCGGGATTCCGCCACGACACCGCTAACGCTACGCGTGTGGGCCCCAAAAAAGGGCCCACTACGCTGCGCTACAGCGCTTTTTAGCGGTTTTTTGCCGCTTTTTCCGCTAAAAGCGCTGTAGCGCAGCGTAGCGTAGCAAAAAACTGCTAAAAACCCGCTAACACTACGGTTTTTGGATGAAAAAAGTGCCGCTACGCTACGCTTTTTGGGCCAAAAGCGTAGCGGCCCACCGCTGACAAAGCCATGTTGAAGGGCACAAAAAGCTCATGGATGACTATTTCAATGAAAATTCAACGTACAACGATCGGGATTTTGAGAGACAATTCCGACTCAGGCAGGACCTATTCCTCAAGATTGCCCGTGATGTGGAATCCGCTTGCCCTTATTTCATTCAGAAACCGGCACGTATTTTTTGGATTCTGATCATGTATATGGTTTTTCCTGATATCTTATTATTTGTCTAGGACTGTACTGGAAAGCTTGGCTTGTCAAGCTTCCAAAAAATAACGTGTGCACTTCGACAGCTAGCTTATAGTTGTGCGATGGATGCAACAGACGAGTATTGTCGCATTGGTGAACAAACCGCGCGGAAAACTTTGAAGAAATTCATTAGCACAATTGATAGCCTATACAGTCAGAAATATCTACGACAGCCCAACTGCGATGACTTGATACGCATTCTGGCTGTTTGATCGACGGAGATTTCCGGGATGCATCGGCAGCTTGGACTGCATGCATTGGGAATGGAAGAACTGCCCAGCTGCAATGGCTGGGCAGTATAAAGGAAAAGAAAAGAAACCCACTGTTGTATTCGAAGCTGTGGCCAATCAACGATTATGGATCTGGCACACCTTCTTTGGCACGGCTGGAGCACTGAACGATATCAACATAATTCATTGATCACCTATTTTCAAGAATCACATGGCAGGGACCGGTTGGGATGCGAAGTTTGAAGTATGTGGGCGAAAATACGAGCACACTTATTATCTTAGGCCCCGTTTGGCCGTCCATGATTTGTAATTTTGAGTTGAGGTTTGGCAGGAGTTTGTGCAAAAACCTTATATCGTTTCATATTGCACGGTCCAAATCCCAGCCAAACTTAGCCAAATCACAAATAATGATTTGCGGCCAAACAGGGCCTTACTGATGGGATTTATCCTGATTGGTCAAACCTCATCAAAGCAAAAGGTGTATCTCAAGATCCTCCCTCCCAGCACTTCAAAAAGCTGCAAGAAGCTTTTCAAAAGGATATCGAGAGAGCCTTTGGAGTGTTGCAATTGCGCTGGGCAATTATCAAATTACCATCTTGACTCTGGAATCCTGAAGACATGGTGTTGATCATGAGGACCTGTGTGATCCTCCATTTGACCAATACATTTGAATTGCCTCACTGTGTTACTCTCATTCCACCTCGAACTTAACCATACACCTTCCAAGAACAGCAAATCCGAACGATTGAACTTAGATCTGGTGCTCAACATCAAAGGCTTAAGAATGATCTAATTGATCTCAATTGGGCACGTTTGGGGGCTAGGAACCAAGGCAATAATTGACTTAGATGCTTGTATTGAGAAATAAAGTAAACCAATTCAAATGATAAATTGTTTTTATTCTTTTCTGTTTGTGTAATGCAAGAAGAAAGTGAGAAAGAAAACAGGAACTTTGAGCAGATCAAGAGCAGAGGGCTTATTCAAGGGTAGGATCAATCTCTTCTAAAATTTCATCATCTACATCAGAAGTTGAGTCTTTGCAGCTTGAGCTTTTGGGTTCACTAGTAGTCTAGTTGGAAGCGAGGATGAAGTTCAAACTTGAGTTTAGGAGGATGCTGCCGCTTGGGTTGAAGAAGAAACCGATTGTTTGCTTTCTTTTGCTTTTTGGGAAGCTAATTTTTGTCGCTGCCCAACTTGTTCACACATATTGTGAACAATCATTTCCTTTTGTAGCCTCAGAAACTCCTTTGATAAGTCATCAGGTAAGTCTTCTTCCCTCTTCAACATGAGATCCATGTACGTTTATTAATCCCCTAAAAAAATGTGTCCAAATGCGGAAACCGTGTGCGCTGTGCCGCAGAAAAACCGTGTCTAAACGCGGCAAAACCACACTTTTATATTAAGGCCCAATTAAAAATGAAATAAATATTTATATGGTCTCAACGGCCAAGAGGAATACCTCTCGGCCGCTGAGAGTGTATCATCTCAATGGCCGAGAGGAATACCTCTTGGCCACTGAGAGTGTATTGTCTCAACGGCCAAGAGGAATCCCTCTTGGCCACTGAGAGTGTATGCTCTCTATGGCCGAGAGGGATTCCTCTTGGTTGCTGGCAGTGTACAACTCTTGGCGGCCGAGAGCAATTCCTCTTGGTCGCAGAGAGTGTACAACTCTTGGCGGCCAAGAGGCATTCCTCTTGGTTGCAGAGAGCTGTACACTCTCAGCATCCAAGAAATCCCTCTTGGCCGGCGAGAATTGTACACTCTCTGTGACCGAGAGGGATTCCTCTTGGCCGCTGAGAGTGTACTGCTTGTTGAATTTTTCGCTCATCGATCTCACTCTCTCTTCCATTTTTCCTCTCTGTCACCTGTCACTCATTTGTCACCGACCTTTTTTTATTCAATATGCATAAAATTCCGTCCCACAACTTGTGCTCTCTTGTATCTAGACTACTTAACTCCCTACTCTAGATATTGAGAAAAAAAAATCATCGGTTCTTTATTCTTTTTAGATTGGTCATGAAGGAGCACATTAGCCCTTCTTCAGTCTTTGTTGCGAGCACATTAGCCCTCTCTTCGAGAATTAAAAAGTATTTTTATTCGGCCTTTTTTGCCAAAATTTCTTCACGATTAACAGTCGAAATCGACTAACACACAACAACACTCAACCTCATCATCATCCTACCTCAACTCTTCTCTCCCAACCGACTCTCTATTGCATCATGGCTACCGAGGTCGTTCGCAAATCCAAAATCCTTCTCTCAAACGAAAACTACACTCTCTGGCTTCTCCCAATCAAAGCAAAACTTTACAAACTGAAGGCCCTCAACATTGTCACTGGCGCTGTTACCTGTCCCGATTTTGAAACAGACAAGGACAACTTCAAATTGTACAACAAACTCAACGAAGACGCCTACGCCAAGATTGTTCAATACCTCAACCAAGAAGTTCTTGCTTATGTCAGCTCAGCTCTCCCAACCACCAATAAATTCAAGGGGCTTGGAAAAACGACTCCCAAATTTTAGTCGACGACTCCCGTTTTGGTCGGGAGGTCGTCGAACGGGAGTCGTTCTTCCAATTCCCGGGAGTCGTCGGCCTAATTCCACAGGCAATTTTTTCTTTTATTTTAATTGAAAATTTGGGAGTCGTCCGCCTAAAAGGCGGGAGTCGGCGCCCCAAATTTGATCCTTAATTTTTCCTTGGGAGTCGTCAGGCTAATTTCCCCAGACGGAAAGGGAGTCGATGGCCCAATCGTCCAAACTGACAACTGGGCTTTTTTCGTCTTGCAGGAGTTGTTGACAAATCCCTAGGAGTTGGTATGAATTGTACAATGAAATTGTTCGCCGGCCTGATTGGTATCAAAACATGTTCCACAAACTCCACGGCGCTTTGGATTGTATCAAGGTTGATTCACCATCACCTTGTTCAAAGCCTCATTGGATGTCCATGCCTTCGACGGGTGCGGTAATGACAAATGCCTTTGAGAGGCCTGTTTGCTTTTTTTCTGACACCTTTTGCCAGACTTTTCTTCCTTCTTTCTGCCCCCCCAATGACAACCCCCCTATTTTTATTGCTTTTCTACATGAATTTTCTCATTTTGTCCCCTTGCAGTTACATAACCCAAGACATTTTGCTGCCCCTCAGCTCATGAAGGAGTGGAAAAAAAGGCGTCAGAAGAGGCTTGGGGATGGGAAGCCCAATTTTCTGATTCTTTTGAATTGACTGTAGAGAGGAAAATAGAAAATCCAATGAAACACCACTAGGGTTTTTTTTTATCCTGTGTCTTTTTTTGTTTTTGATTTTTTTTCCTCTATGTCCTTTTTTACCCCTTTTTTTTTCTTACTTTTCTGATCGCTTTTGAATATTTTTGGCCCGTTTGTCATCTCTTTTATCTTTTGCAATGGTTTTTCTCAATCAATCTAATTTTTTTATCATTGATAGATTGCCTTTGGGGTGGGGCCTCAGTGGCTCAACCTTTTTTTGGAGTCTCTGAGGGTGCCATATGGTGACGACTCCCATTTCTAGTTGGACGACTCCTGTCTTTTTTTAATATAGAAAAAAAAGGCAAAACATTTGGCGGAATTGGTGCGACGACTCCCTTGTATTAGGTGGGCGACTCCCGTCAATTTAAATATAAAAAAGGGCGAAATATTAGGCGGAATTGGTGCGCCGACTCCCGCACTTTAGGCGGACGACTCCCTATTTTTTTAATAAAAAAAATGAAAATTCTCCAGGTAAAATTAGTGCAACGACTCCCTATGTTTTTTTGGGAATTGGAAGAACGACTCCCGTTCGACGACCTCCCGACCGAAACGGGAGTCGTCAACTAAAATTTGGGAGTCGTTTTTCCAAGCCCCAAATTCAATGGATACAAGCTTTGGCAGCTACTCAAATCCAAGTTCGCTGGCAATGACCTCACATCGAAGACTACAGCTCTAAAGAAATTCCTCGCCGTTGACTACGACTCGTTCTTGTCGTTTCTACCGCTTATTCGAGCCGCAAATCAAAAGATCGTTCTCTCGTGCCTCGCCCTTGACGACCAAGTTAAAACTATCTTGATGCTCAACAAACTTCCTCAAGACTTTCACTCGTTCAAGACAAACATATCAATGAATTTTGAAACCTTGCCGTTCGACGACGTACTCAAGAAACTCGAGGACTGTCAGCCACAGAGTACATGTCACAGTACCTTTCATGTACCAAGTAACTGCAACACCTGTACTTATGTACATAAGTACTTATCCATAATGTTGATTACCTTTACCTCTTGTTATCTTATCTTTATTATTAACTTATCTTATTTATCTTACAGTTATCCTATCTGTTAATTACTTATCTAGTAAATACATACCTGTGTTCTACATAAGTAATTATCACTTACCTTTCACTCCCTTGTCCGTGAAATACCTGTACCACAAGTTATCCCTCTGCTACAGTATTTTCACGGTCAAATATTATTACAAATAAATATGTACATGTATTAAATAATAAGTATTAAGTGTCAATAGAATTAATACATTCAATACATGCACTGATCACAATTATGACTACATTATTAGAGGATCTATTAAGTACACGCATCAAGAGCTACTAGTACATTGATCAACTAGTACACAATTATGATGTCACTTACAGATCATGACAAATAATGATCAGTCACTCAATTGATGTGCTCATTCTCCTGGCCAAAGCTCCCTTGATTCTGAGCGCTCATTCTTTCCCCCCTTCAATATTCTGGAACTTATAATCCGTGCCTCTTTCACTGATTAATCACCAGAATATTCAGACACCAGTTAAACCAGTTAACATTTATATTGATACAGTACCCGTAACCAACATAAATCTTGTCTACATTTATTTTTCTTAAGCTTCAGTACTCTTACTCAACTTATCCACAGTATTCATAGCCTTGCTGAATATTCCCATTAACAATACCTGTTAATCTTCAACTAATTTTGTTAAAGTTTAATAAGTATTGTTAGCCCATTCCCTTTGGGGAATAACCAAATCAATCCCAGGTGAGTCTTAGTACCCTGGATGCCTATTAATACCTTGTATTGATCCGGATGCGCTGTTGATAGCAAGCCTCTCAGTAAAGACCATACTGATAGAGTGAAACCTCCTCTTTACAGGACTGGTATTAATCACCCACTACCTAACACTCACCACGCTCAAAAACTTCAGTCAACTCATAGTAACAACCTTTTTACTATTAAATACTCAGGTTAGTTACCCAGAGGCTGACAATTGGGGGTCTGGCCTAATTGGAATTCCGTGACTAACATATCTCCGTGCTTCTTTTTACCTTTTGTCCCCAAAAACATTTACTACTAACAATGGCCTTCTGAAGAACAAATGCCGGAAGTTTTGCCATTTATTAGACAAATAGATAGTACAATTGCAGAAGAAGCTAGTAGATATTACCACAACCACCCGGATAACATTACAGTTATTGAAAGAGTAGAAAAAGTGAAAGTAACAGAAGCAGAAGATAGATTCTGGAACTACATAGAAACTAAGCGCTACCATTGTACCCTTCATTCTACTTACTCCCCTGAATACATCCTCATAAATCTTGTAGAAGAAGACGAGTCTATCATAGAAAAAACAGTAGAAACAAACAGGAATAACTTCTTTACAGCGTTAGAAGAAACCCCTAAATATAGAACTCTTCCTACTAACATCTTGTCTAGAACTGTCCGCTACTACACTCTTCCACCTTTCACTGCTTGTTCTCCGCCTCAACCCAACTCTATAATCATAGATCTCACGGATTTAGAATAAATTAAGCTTGTTTTTATCTCATCTCATCTCATTAGTATCAGAAATAAAAACACCAAAAAACACAAAAATAAAATTCTTGCGCTATCTGTTTCACTCATCTCGAGCCACAAAAATCACAAAAATATTTCATTATATTTCCATTTGATTCATCCACACAGAAAAAATTGAAAACCCTTAAAAAATACGTCCGTGTCCCTTCAAAAAGTCTTATTTTTTCAGTCTGAGTCAATTTACACTATCACGGAGAGAGAACCATAACAGATACAAACAATCTGAGTCGACCATTCGATCCGCCGTACCCTGTTTACACTACTAGGTTTTTTTCCTGAGCCTTGAAAGTCTACCATTCCTACGGCGTGAGCGGATCTAGTCTCATTTACCCATCATCTCGAGGGATTAGTACCTGGTCGAAGTCTAATACACCTGGTCGAAGTCTAAAAATAGAGTTATCTCACGTGTACATAAGGTTCTGCAGGCCGTATTACACAGTTACAACTCAATACACCCCGGATTTGCCAAGATCTGCAAGGATCTACATACATACAGATCTTCCGTACTACCACTCCCGCCTAGTACATCACCCCTCCTACTAAAACCGTCGAAAGTGATCTTTCCTGATCTTTGAGAGAGTGTAGCTCCTTCATTATTTGAGCTACATCGACAAACAAGATACAGAACTCATCGCCTTTATAAGACGTATCCAGCGCCGCCTTCCTTTCCATCCTCACTCAACTCCTTCACCCAGTTTCAGTAGCAAACACCGACCTCTCAAGTTTTCGACCAGAAGTACCTTGAAATATTTCATTCTGAAAGTTGAGCGTGTTCCTTAGCTTCTGAACTTATCTCTCGAACAAAAAATTTCTGAAAAAGCTCAAAAATTGGTTGTGTAACAGTGTCCACCGTCAACAGCACCCTTAGCGCTAACATCCAAAACTTGGAAGTACACGACAAAAACACTGCGCCAAGAGACAATAGAGCCCAATCTCCTCAAACAACTAATAGGGAAGCCTCAGTAGTTGCCTCTGATAAATCCTCAGGTAAATTTAACACCTCTACATATTTTTTGTTATCAATTTTCACCGGGTTAAATTTTCCTACTAAGACCTGTTTTCTTTTACCATGTCTCCACCTTCTCTTAGACTTAGAGGTTATAATGGAAGGACCAGAGACGCTCCACCATCCCAGAGAGGATTTCCACCAGCGTCAGTTTTACCAAAGAATAAGGATAAAATAATTTACGCGTCGAAAAAGAAACTAACATCTCCTACTAACAGTTCCAAAGGAGGAGAAATTCGAGCGCTATTACTACAGGATGAAGACCAACAAGGAATGGCTGAAGGATGTGCGCAACCGCAGCAGCTACTCGGCCATCAGAGCTCATCTAAAGTATTTCCGGGAGGATTTCCAAGCGATGATAGACTTAAGAGGAATGACGACGACCCTCAAAAGAACCAAGGGTTGGAACCCATTACACGTGACGGCAGAGAGTCTCCTTCAACCACGAGAAGCGCCGGACCTTCAGGAAGGATCAATGAGACCCCTGAGTCGCAGAGGGAGGAATACCCATTCAAGACACCCAAGGAATACGGGGGGGAACACTCAATGGCGCAGCCAAATCTACGAAGAGATGGTACGCCTTGGGAGGTCTCTTCAAGGGACTTATCAACACTTGGAGAAAGGCAAAATCAACCGCCAACACCGCTTCATGGAAGAGGAGCCTTAAATACTTCCCCTACACCTG